AATAGGAGGGGGATGACCTAAGGGTGAATGTGCAATAGTAAGAGGAGGGAATAGGGGGGCATGTGTGGCAAGATAGTAGCTTAAGCTTAGTCATCTTAGAATGGTCCCAGGCTTGCCTATGGGCACTGCTTCGAGGGAACAATAACAGAAAGGAATGGGCTTTATTTAGGGTGAGTCAGACTAATAGTCTAGCCACTACAGATGGCTGATGTTAAGGAGAATAACCTCTGACTTACTTTCGCTGCCTAAAGAACAGTCACGCTTAAGCAGCTAAGTCTGGTATATATTTTGGGGAGACAACTTAAGAGAAATCCTTCTGTTCCCCACACAGGGGCAGGGATTTATTTAGTGCATCTCCTCTAACCATTATCTAACTCCCACCAAGTGACCCTTCTCTGCATGTGCCTGCTAAGAAGGTGGGGGAAGGTTCTGATAGGATTTGTCTGTGAGTAATTATGAGTAGGATTCTCTGGAGTGTCATTCTGCTCTGGATAAAATGAGTCCATTGAGAAGCAGGAGGAAGGATCTCATTGCCAGCAAAAACCAGGACTGGAGGATGTTAGCTGGACTCAAGATTTCTGTGCAGTGAACCTCGTGGATCCATATGACAGCGATGCCACTAGCAACAGCAGCAGAGCCAAAAGCCAGAGCATGGAACAGAGTGATGGACTTCTCAATCACAGAGCAAGCTAAAATGAGTGTATTTGTGCAGGGGCTGGCTTGTGGAGTGGGGTGCCCCTACGCACTTGATTGGGGGAGTTCGACTTGACCCACAGAGCCTGAGCTAAATACCTTTGGGTTAAAAGTTACAGCAGAGTAGTATGCCTCTTTGGGATTTTATTAGCAGATCTGAAACTTTGTAGCATCTTCTGGTAAATAACTACCCTGAGCATTTATCACTGACATTATAACTTGTTAACTTCATTAATAAACCCTTTATTCATGTATTTTTTCTGTGAGTTCTGTGGAGTGATCACAATGGATATTAGAAGTCAGAAAGATTGATTAGATAATATTAGAATTTACAGAGGTAAATTAAAAAATACACTTATTAAGACAATACAACACCCATGATTAAGTGTGAGCTCAACATCCATTTATATGTCTATGGTTTATATATGTCCCTGTTTCACTTCAAACATATACTTTTCTTGGAGAACATTATAAATTGTCTCCATAAGTTGATACTATTAATAATATCCTTAATTTAGGCAATGGCATAAAATTAAAATCACTGTTAAAAAGGAAGTTTTGCATGTGTAGGCCAATGTTTTAGACAACACTACATGAATTGTTGACTTGTACAGATTAAAAGTTTAACTGGGAAGAGAAATGGGTGCATAAGCAAATGCGGTAAAGAAAGCTGATGGTGCCCGGCTATTAAAAGATATAGCATCTGGGATCTTAAAGGCTTGAAGTTAAACAAGCAACCATCTAGTAGGGAAGCAACAAAGCCCACATGGAAGAAACACACCAGTCAGTGTGATCATGAGGTGTCAATGTGAATAAGTACCAGAAGTTCAAAAACAAGCAATCAAATTGATGTGAAGGATCGTGGACAAAGTAGAGACCCAAAACCAACCTTTAAGAAAATTGGACAGTCCCTCAGAGAAGGGCCACACGAAGGGATGATAAATCTAGGGAGTGGGATAGTACTGATGAAACACATAACTATCCTTTTGCTCTTTAATATTTCCTCCCCTTGCTATCATGATATTTGTTTTACCTCATTAATCTTGTTAGACCTGCATATGTTCATTTGTATAATTAAGAGCAGCATTCATTGAATGCATAAAAGCCTAGACAGATAACACTTCAGAAACAGTAATGGGAGTACTGATTCCCTTAGGGTGCAGGAAAAGAGGAAGAGGAAGGGGAAAAGGAGGAACAATGTTGACTGTACAACCCCACTCAAGGGGAATGAATAACAGAATTGTAGGTCAATGGATAATTTGGATGGTGTAAGATAAGGCAAAATAATAATAATAATAATAATAATAATAATGATAATAATAACAGCTCCTGGGGGCAGAGTAGGGGAGGGAGGGGGATGAAGAGGAACTGATATCATAGTGTTCAAGAAGAAAGAAAATATTTTGAAACTGATGGTAATAGCAATTATAAAATTATACTTGATCAAACTGAATTATGGATTGTTATATTATCTGTAAGAGCTCCCAATAAAGTAATAAAATACAAAAATAGAAATAAACTTTAAAAAATAAAACTTAAGTGACTAAACATTATTTACACATATAATGAGGATTGGAGAGATAGCAAAACTTTCAATAACACTCACAAAGGCAGAACTATGCCTGATAGCCTAACACATGTCATAAAAAAAGTAATGAGAGCATGAAAATAATAAATATCTGGTGGTCCTGAGCTGCCATTCATTGAGCACTCCCAAAGCAAGAGATCCAAATTAAAATCCAAGATTCTCCAATTCCGTAACCTTAGGGTAGCAGTCATCTGCTTGTTCTCACTCAAGGCAGCCTACGTCCAAAGGAGAAGTTCACTTTCTTAAATCTGTTAGAGATGAATTTATGGTAAAGTCTTGTTCACTTAGTGGGTTTCCAAATTGGATCCTTCTGGTATAGTCTATGAAGGATGTTGTGCACCTGGAAAGGGCAGAGTTTAATGTCCCAGTAGTCTATAGCATGGCCTGGGTCACTAAAGGCTTGTTAGAAACTAGGCCAAAAGTATCCAGTTAGGAACATAGTACCAGGCATACTCTCCCTTTGGGATCTATATAAGGAACACTAAGTATGTCTCCTAATAGCAGGTTGGCCCACTGGGTTCACCCTCTCACAGACAGACATGCCACTCTCAGTCCCTCGCCCCCACCCCACCTCTTAACTTGAATTTCCAGGAAGATTCACTAAGCACTTGTAGGAGTGTGTGGATTTGGGTGATTGTGCAGCAATGTCAAATGGTAGAAAATGAGTGGTCTTCTCCACATGTCATGAGAAACTGACCCACTTGAGAGAGACCTCCTCTCTCAAAATGGTTTGTAAGATGTACAAAAGGTTTGGTTTTCTTAATCAAAGTCACAAAAGTCAACCTAAACTTAGGGACGCTGAACCTCTGACTTCTGGGAGGATTACAAAGAAGAATAAGTTTTCATATTTTGGTGATATTAGGGTTCTGGAATGGTTTTCCCCTGTTCTTGCTTCTCAACACTGAAATAATTCATGCGGCAGAAGCACTTTGTAATCCAAGTAGCTTTTAAGGGGGAAAGGGAAGTTTGGGGTATTACAGTCTCAGACCCTACTCGCTATACCTGGAAAGCATGCGAGACCATATGGCAGGGCCGTGGGAGAGTTCACAACCGAAAATAGCCACTTCAAGGGAGCATGAAAAATTATGCGGGAAAAGGAGAGCCAGAACGGAAAAGGGAAGAAAAGAGAGCTCCAGGGCGGAGTGGTTATGCAAATGGGCACCGCACACACGGAAGAGATCCCGTCCTCAGAGAGCGCCTGAGAGAGGTTGGCTTCAGCCTGCCTGTGCTATTTATCCCTTCCTGTCCCCACTTGGAGTGGGGTATGGGGGTTGACGGGCATGGCTGAGGGTATTGATCATTGTTAGTGGCTGAGTTCAGGCACGTGTGTGACCTAACGTTGCTGGTGCCTACTGTGTATGCCCAGGTTGACCTTCCGCTGAGCCTAGGTAACTTTGGTTTGAGCATGCCCAGCTTTGGATTGTCACCACATGTGTCTAATGTGTTTCCAATTTCTTTCCAACCCCTTTATTGTGGCATGGCCAGCTAAATTAAGCTTTGTGTAGGCATTAGGTGGAGACAATCCCCATTACCTCAATCTTCCTACCTTTCATGGACAGCAGTGAACAGTGAATCAAAGAAACAAGACCATCAACATTGATGAGCTCGGCTAAGATGTTAATATGTTCCATAGCTTGCCAGTGTCCTACAGTAAAATCCTCAGACTGCTAAAGTGAAACAAAAAGGTTTATTGAAATCACAATAAACACTGGAATGGGGTAGAGTGACCCATAGAAACTGCAGACCACTGAATCCCCAGGATGGCCGTTTACTGGGGATAGACATAGGGTAGAAACCAGAAACTAGTCTACAAAATCTGATAGGAAATTTCCAGGTCTGGATGCTAGAAAACCCTAGGCAGTGACTTGAAAGTGTGGTCGACTTGGATAGGTTGGCTTATGTGGCTAAAGAAGTTTTGTAGGGAAGTTACAAGAGATCTATCAGAAGCATTCCCTGAAGGCTGCTGAATTGACTTCTGATAAGACTCTTGTCTCTATACTTCCTTAAGAACATTTAAAATATTTCTTCTTTAAAAAAAATGTATTTAAGTAGGTCAAAGGGCTTAACTTTGTAGAAAAATACTTTGTTATTTACTTATATTTGCTGAAATCTGACCCAATGTCGTGTATACAATTTCTTGCTCACAAGCCGTTAGCTCCCTACTCAGCTCACTGATTTTTAAGGAAGTTAGCCTTAGTCAGGTTGGCAACTGAATTAAGCCTCAGAATAATCATTTTACTTTGGTCAGGCACCTTGCTTTTAGGGGTCCAGCACCTATAATGCCGAAACAAGAGCTTGGAAAAGATGACATCAGGCCCACTCCGAGGCTTAGTCACGATAAATGTATCAGGCACCTCGGTTCCAAAACTTACGTTCATCAGATTTAGATATTAGAAACTAAGGAAAATAGAATTCTTCAAGTTCTTTCCTTTAGGATGCTCTTCCATATTCTGGAAGAAACTGAGACTTTGTGTTTATTCCCAGAGGATCTGGGAGGTCAGAATTGTTAACAGTATTACCAAGAAGTTATCAATACATAGTGTAGTCATTGTTGCTATCAGCAAATGATTTAATAAGTGAGAATTTTAATTAGACCCCCCTTGTTTTAATTTCTGATATAGTTAATGAGAATTTTTACTTTTTCTGACAATACTCTCAGAAACCCCCACCCCACCTCCCATGTTTTCCTTCAAGTTTAAAGAGCGCAAAAGCTTTTGGAGACAAATAAACAGGTAAATAAAATAAAGCAAGCATTTATTTTGGGAAATAAAATTAATCCCTTTTCTTGGATACAAACAGAAACAAAAATCAGTTATATAGTTATTTCTTCTAACACTATGTCTTCTCACTACAGTTTCAACTCCTACCTAATATTGTTGGGTTTCTGAAATGGTTTTCCTTGGTTCTTGCTTCTCGATGCTGAAAGAATTCACGCAGCAAAAGCACTTTTGTAAATCCACGGAACTTTTCGGAAGGAAAGGGAAGTTTAGGTTAATACAGTCTCAGATCAGACATGCTATCTCTGGAAAGCGTGCACATACCCCGTGGGGAACCACACAAGGGTTCTCAACTGAAGCTGGCTATTTTATGGGGAGCGTGAAAACCACATGGAAGAAGTACGGCAACAAGAGTGATGAATAAGAGAGCAAGCGCCCTTGGCCTCTGCTTTGTATCCTCTTCTACCCCAACTTGAGGGGGCGTGGTTGAGGCATTGTCCATTGTTAGTGACTGAGTTTAGGCTCCCAAGTGATGTGATGTTGCTGGGGCCTCGTGCGTGTATCCAGCTTGACCTTCACCTCTGTCTAGGTGATATTGGTCTAAGCATCCACAGCTTTGGATTGTCCCCATAGGTGTCTAATGTGTGCATGATTTCTTTCCAACCCCTTTATTGTGGCATGGCCAGCTGGTTTTTGTTTAATGTAGATCCCTTTATCTCTGATCTTCCTACCTATCAATACTATAAATAACTTATTTCTATTACACAAAGCTGAGGGGTTCATACACATACATTTGTGATTCTTATCTTTTTAAAGTTGTAGACCTAGCTGGGGAGGACAACTGGCTATTTTCTTCATAAGCTGCTCTGAGGCCTCAAAGGCAAGCAGTAAGACTAGGGGATAGAAGCCACCGATGCCTGATTCTGCTTTTCTGTACATTTGACATCCATTGACAAGAAGAATTTGTGCAATCTAAGTATATATACATATGTTTAAGTTAGTCAAGCTATTTTAAAAGACAAAGCATTGCTCAGACTATCTTCAAGAACCAATGAGCTCCCCTGTACTGTCTTGGTAAGCAGCTTTGCCTTATATCAGCCTGTGTGATCCAAGGATTGTAAAGAATAATACAATCCAAATCTAGAGAAGGGGACCGTGTTAGAGCTTACATTCTGACAGCCCCGTTTGCCAAAGGAAATGATGACAGCGGAAATTCAAAATCTGCTCCAGCGCTCCCACAGAGTAAGCCTCTGGTGAATCAATCCCTCCTGAGCACAGTCTGCAGATGGCGATGGCCTTGCTGTCGGACAGCGTGCATTGCCAAGGGGACTATTGCAGATATTGTTAGGTTACAGTGTAGCACCTTGTCATCTGCTCTCCCTTTTGACTCATTTTAAATTTGTCCCGGTTCTTAATTTGAATATAAGGTTTATTCTGAATGGTTGTTTTATATGCATATAGGGAGACTATTCTGAATCTTTAAAAATCAAATGGCTTTTAGGTATCAAGAAGGAAAAGGCTTTTAGATAGGTATAAAGAAGGAAAAATACAGCATATGTAATATATGTTGATTAAGATGCAGATACCTATTTGAACCATGAGTGTAGAGTTTATGGATTGAGTATGACTATGCAGGCTTCCTACTTTTGAGTTATTGACTAAACTATAAAAGGAAATAATTAGTTATTTAGCTCTCATCAGGGATGATTCTAAAATTTTTTAAAAGTAATTTTCCCAAAAGATTATCTGAAAGTCCAGCCTGTGTGATCACGAGGTATCAAAGAGATCAGGTATCAGCCATCAAAGAACAAAAAATCATATCATTGTGAATGAGGGGGAGTGCAGCGTGGGGACCCAAAGCCCATCTGTAGGCAACTGGACATCCCCTTCCAGAAAGAAGGGTTGCGGGGAGGAGATGAGCCAGTCAGGGTGCAGTGTAGCAACAATGAAACATACAACTTTCCTCTAGTTCCTAAATGCTTCCTCCTCTCCCACTATCATGATCCCAATTCTACCTTACAATTCTACCTAGACTAGAGGTTGTACACTAGTACAGATAGGAACTGGAAACACAGGGAATCCAGGACAGATGATCCCTTTAACCAGTGAGAGTGGGGATGCCGGGAGTGTAGAGGGATGGTGGGGTGGAAAGGGGGAACCGATTACAGGGATCTGCATATAACTGGGGGAAGGACAACAGAAAAGTGGGTTAAGGGAGATGTCGGACAGTGTAAGATATGACAAAATAATAATTTATAAATTATCGAGGGTTCATTAGGGAGTCGGGAGCAGGGAGGGAGGAGGGAAAATGAAGAGCTGATGTCAGGAGCTTAAGTGGAGAGCAAATGTTTTGAGAATGATGAGGACAACGAATGTACAAATGTGCTTTACACAATTGATGTATGTATGGATTGTGATAAGAGTTGTATGAGCCCCAATAAAATGATTTTTAAAATTATCTAAAATTATAAAATTGTACTAATAATCTTTACTGCATATTTCGTTACAGTTTTGACAACTATGTTGAATCCCAAACCTAAAACCTAAAGAAACATCCTAAACTCATATTTAGTTTCAATGCTTTTATATGGGGGCAAAAGGTGAGTGACATTAGGCAGCTTTCTGCCGGTTGAGCAATGCCCAACACCAATCATTTATCTATGAGTAGTTCATATTGGTCAAGAGATTTACTTATAAAAAATAGTTCCTCTCAACTTAGAGGCTTAGAAATAGAACATTGGAAAATGAGGGGCTGAAAGAATTCAAGATTAATGTAAGACCCTGAAGTGTGGCTTTAGAGCAGGTGATAAAGCATTATAATACAGGTATTTATGTGTGTGTGTGTGTGTGTGTGTGTTATATACATAGAAAAATAGTGGGATCTTTACCTTATGTGGTTGGTTTGATGAGACAGAGATGGAGAACACAAACATAATAAATGCTTAGATAAATGACACCATGTAGGAGAAAAGAAATGGAAATCTATAGAGAAGGTGGGCTTAATTCCCTGGGCATGGTGAGCTCTAAAACTGCATCCTCTAATGTAAAGCTGCCTGTATTTCTTGCTTAGGTAACAAGGTGGAAGTTATTTAACCAATAGGACATCAGTATTTACGTTGCTAAATAAGGCTATCTACATCTTCTTTATCTTGACATCTTGTTGAATGAGTTTGTAGATATAAAATGTTTCAAACTACTTGATACATGGTAAATGCACAATGACTGTTTATTTTTATTAAAAGAAAAATATCCACAAAGTTTTAGTAATGTACCTTCTTTTGTCCATATTTTTATATGGCTTGGAATTTTTTTTCTAGATCACTATTCATTTAAAAGCTTAAAAAACAGCAACTCTCTCTCACTTTTTATTCTAATCACATGACTCTTAATACAAAGGTCAGTGTTAATTTCCTGTATTGTGATATCTGGAACATTTCAGAAGGTGGTACGTTTACTGCTGCTTTCATGCTGCATACCTGGCTCACGCGAGGTGATGAAAGGGCATTGTTGAAGCACACAATTCTCTTTTATTATATATATATACACCTTGTGAGTTCTTCAGCTCTGTGAAATAATTTTGCTTTCGAACAAGCACTCATCATTCCTTTCTTCCATCGACCTGCAACACCAATTTCCATGGCAGGTATGTATGTCCTCAGGAATTTTAAAATTTGAAATAGTCAGAAAGTTACCTAGTGGCTCAGTCTAATGCTAAGGTGGTGTTAGAAGAGAAATGAGTCCAATTAATATTGGGCATTTTTAGGCTTGCCACTTGTAAGCACATTAAATTTAAATTTCTGGTTCTTCATTCTGATACTTATAAATCATTGTGTGATATTTTTTCAAGAGGTTTAGAGTGGCTTCTGACAGAAATACCTCTAAATTCTCCAGGTTAAATTGTGACAATAATTTTAACATAATTCTTTCCTAGAAATACAGAATAAAATGATAGACACAATGTTTAGAAGGGTTATGTTGGAAACATGTCATTTAACTTGAAACAGGTTGTAGAGATCACCCAAAGGAAGAACTTGAAAAATTATACTGATGTTAATCAAAGCAAAACTGGATGGAGGTATGCTAATGAATGTTAATACAGGTCTACCGAAGGCTGTTTTTTTTTTTTGAGGGATGAAGTTTATTAGAAAAATTTTGATATGACCAAATGTTCTCTTTTAAAAAATAAGGTATCATAATTCAATTTGATTTATCATGATAATGTATTCGATATGTGAGCAAATGTTCTGGTTTTATTTTTTGCTTTTGTAATAAAAGTTATTTATGGATCATACTTCATATGGGAAATGAACCCATCTTCCACGGTATTAGCCAAGCATTTGTGGTGGGACGTCTCCTCCAGGCAGATCCGGAGTGCTGTGTCTTCTCTTCCATGTAGTCCCACCACAGAGCTTTGAGTAGGATGACGTTCTCAGAGCCTTAAGATTAGCAGAAAAGCACACGCCTGAATAGCGTTATTGCTAGCGATAATGGCACAACATGTGAAGTGAAAGATTCTGGATCTAGACACACTTTAATTGGATTTCTGGTGTGGACTCGCTTTGATACCATGAGAAAATAACATTTTCCTGGACCCTCAAGTTTCTCACCTACCTAAGCGTTCAGCTGCTAATTGCATGGTCAGCAGAATGAAATTATCAGCCGCTTCGCAGGAGAAACACGGGCTTTCTACTCCCTGGAAGAGTCTGTCTCAGAAGCGCCCAAGGGCCTGCTAGAGGGACGCCTTGAATTGGAATCAACTCAGTGGCAGTGGGTTTGGTTTGGAGTGACCTAAAGGCAATCATGTCCTCCACCTTGTGATGCTGCTTGAGAGACTAAAAATGAATGTATACTCTGGAAGCGCATCAACTTGATGTTACTGCCTCTTACTCGCTTCTGTCTCAAGATGGCAAAGCGAATTTTGGGAATAATGAGGGCAACAAATGTATAGATGTGTTTTATACAATTGATCTATGTATTGTGATGAATTGTATGAGCCCCAATAAATTGATTAAAAAAAAAGATTTCTATAAACGGCAAATCTACTGCGGTTTCAGAGACAGAGCTGGAAGAATAGTCAATATAGTAACCATCTCACGCAAGAATAAAGTACACTGCAAGAAACATTGGTATTGTTCAAAGTTGTAACTAGGATATCTGCTTTTCTTTTTTTTTTTTTATTCCTGACATATCTTTTTTTAAACATTTTATTAGGGGCTCATACAACTGTTATCCCAATCCATACACACATCAATTGTGTAAAGCGCATTTGTACATCGTTTCTCAAAACATTTTCTCTCCATTTAAACCCCCGACATCAGGTCCTCATTTTTCCCCTCCCTCCCCGCTCCCCCCTCCCGCATGAGCCCTTGATTGTTTATAAATGGGTATTTTGTCATATCTTGCCCTGTCCGACTTCTCCCCTCATCCACCCCTCGGCCGTCTGTCCCCCAGGGAGGAGGTCACACACAGTTCCATGCAATCGGTTCCCTCTTTCCCACCCATTCTCCCTTTACCCTCCCTGTTTTGTCACTCACACCACTGGTCCTATAGGGCTCATCCATCCTGGATTCCCTGGATTCTCAGCTCCTATCTGTACCAGTGTACCTGCTCTGGTCTAGCCAGTCTTGCAAGACAGAATTCGAGTCATGGTAGTGGGAGCGGGGAGGAAACCTTTAGGAACTAGAGGAAGGTTGTATTTCTCATCATTGTTACATCGCACCCTGACTGGCTCATCTCCTCCCCGAGGATATCTGCTTTTCAAAGTTTTCTTAGAAAATGACTGTCATCAAATTAAAATATTTTTTAAAAAACCTCTGAATTTTCTAATTGGCTTCTGTTGTTATGAACTTCAAACTGTGTTTTGTTCTTTAAGCCGTCATCTTATTTATCTTTTACGACAGTTTTCCAGAGTTCTCCATGGAGACTGATATCTGCGATTTTAGGAATAATATGTCTTTCGTTGATGGCTACTTTGGGGATTTTGCTGACAATGTGTAAGTTTCTGCCAGCAAGTCTTTATAAAGATCCAAGCTGTGATAGACCACTTATAACAAAGGTCTCATATTACTAATGTGTGGTAGTTTATCCTCTCAATGGCTTTAATCTGTGTCTGATTATCTAAATTTCTAACACTCTCTTACAGCATTTAGTAAAGAAAAGATTGAGCAAACACGCTGGCCAGGAAGCCCCACAGAACACAGGAGGGGTGAGCTCCTTTCTTGTAAGAAGCTTATTATTGGTGTACCCTTTTGTCCTTGAGTCGATTCTGACTAATTATTGGTAAAAAATTAACATTAATCGGTTTTTTACAAGTGATTTGATGGAATAGTCTATGTATATATACAAGTCTGCTCCACTAATTATTGAACAGGCTCATTTCATTGTGCTCTAATGTAAAATGATTACATTACACTGAGTGTACAAGTATTAAAATAAAACAAGTATTAATTCAAAATGATCTTTTTTCCTTTTTGAGTGCTCATCATTAAGTAACACACCAGCATAATAGTAATTATTAGAGCTAATTCTGATTGCATGCTGCATTTCCTCCTAACTCAGACTTTCCTATCTCTTTTCATTTGCTTTTATTGGATTCAGAATTCTGTGCCCTCATTTCCACAATTCTGAATTCCACTTATCCAATAATACTCATTTTTCCCTTTAGGCACTCCTCATCATCTGTTACCTGCAAGCCCTTACTTTACGGTTTATTCCCACAACTTCAGAGCCGTTCCTTTGTTAAACACTTGAATGGTTAGCAGGTGTCATGACTTTTACCATGAAGGATAAGAAATGCTGAGGACACTATTCCTGATAAGTTGCATTATTTGGACATTAATTGTTTTCTTTATCATGGTTTTTAAGAAGTTTATATATTAGAATTTTACCAATGTATAGCAGTTTTTTCTAATTCAGGAAATATGCTGACATTTTCTCCATTTACATTTCTCTATGATACAATTATTTTTAAAACAATTTTATTGACATATAATTCACAAATCCAAAAAACAAACAAAAATAATAATTCACAAATCCTACAATCCAATAATTCAATCACATCAACAAGAGTTGTACAAGCATCATCACAATCACTTTGAGAACATTTTCTTTGTTCTTGTATTCATCATTATTAGTTTCCCATTTCTCCCCAACTCCCCCTGCCATACCCCTAAGGAATAATTAATGAAATTACTGTCTCTATAAATTTACCTCTCCTGGGTTTCACATACAAAAAAACATGATCTAGTTAACTTCTGTTTATAGTATTTGGCTTTGCATAAATGTTATGTTTTTAAAAGGTGACTCTTTGAACTTCCCTGTTTTTGGTTGCTACATGCTGTTTTTATCCACTGTATTCCACTTGTGTACTTACTAAGAACATTATTCAATACAATTAATGAGTGATTAGGAGTGAAATATTTCTAACTCTCTCTAGAATGTAATATTCATGGAGAAAAACATCATGTCTGACTGGGCACAAGAATATTTTCTGGAAATAGCATGCTGTGCATGTATACATTTATAGTAGGTTCTCAGATAATATTGTCATAAAATATGAGTAAATGGCAAACATTTTTGAATACTGAGTAAAATGGCTTTGAAATTTTAAATATGTTTACTGTCACATATCATATTTATTTTGTCTTAGGTTCTGACTGCTGTTCTTGTCCAGAAAAGTGGATTGGCTACAAAAGCAACTGCTACTTCATTTCTAATAAAAAAGAAACTTGGGCAGAAAGTAGAAATTTCTGTATTTCTCAGAACTCCACACTGTTTCATCCGAAAAGCAAAGATCAGTTGGCATGTACTTTATTTTTTTCTCACATTTTGTTATGCCTGAAAATAATCAATACCAAATAACCTGATTATTTTGATTCATCTTTAATCAGATAGTAAATGGGTGGGTGTATTTGAAAAAATGACTTATTAGTTTTCTACATCTTCAATAAGTCATTAAAAAAATCAAAATAACTTCTCCCAGAGATTTATAACAGAAGTATAAAAGTCAAGATTTTATATAAGGGCAAGAAATTGCAAAGAAATCAAAGAACTGTTAGATTCCTTCCTTTGCTCATTTTATTCAAGTAACCAACCAAACAACTATAATTTTTAGGTTTTTTCATTGTACTTATAGTTTCATTTCTAATTATGTGAGTTTTACTATTTCTTTGTGATAAAAAGATTATAAGGATATTATCATAAAAAATATTCACTTTTTGAGAAAAAGTAAAAATTATTCTATCTGTGCAGAACCTGTGCCAAGGACAACCTAAGTAGACTCTGCTTATGGATTTATCCCTAAGTAGACTCTGCTTATGGATTTATCCCTAAGTAGACTCTGCTTATGGATTTGTCCCTAAGTAGACTCTGCTTATGGATTTATCCCTTCAGCTACTGTGGATTTCAGATGACAATTAAATGGCAATCACTGGTGAAGAAATTGTTCCATAAAAATTCTGGCTCCGTTTATAACATGTTCCACTTCATAGTGACATAAGATTTGCACTTGGATTCTTTTTCTTCATAAATGAGTGGATAAATTAGAAATCTGAGGCCTATAACTGTCACTCAGTGATTAGAAAGGAAAGAGAACTTTGATTTGCATGGCTGATTGACCAAGTCTGATGCTGATCAATCCTGGAGTAGATTCAAATTAAGTTAATGTGTCTGTCTCTTCCTCAAAGCAGGGTTTTTTGAAATACAGTCCCCATTTTTACTGGCTTGGGCTCTCTTACAATGAAACTGGTGACATCTGGTTGTGGGAGGATGGCTCTGCTTTATCTCAGCAATTGTAAGTTTCTCACACTCATGTACCTTTTCTGTTCTTTCTGAGTTTATACATAGATCTCATAAGTGCAGATACATCCCAGGAGTACTATACCAAGGGTGCACTGTCTAGGGTATGAGATCACAGAAAAGGCATTAGGTGCAGCAGAATACAATTTTAGCCCAATTCACAACATACAAATTCATTCTCAAGTCACACGAATGTTTGTATCTTTATGTATATAAAGTAACTTCTAATATATTATTTCTGTGGGTTTTAGAAAGACACAAAACTATGTACATGCATAAAACATGTTCACACATATTGAGGTAGTCAACAAAAGTGCTATATTGATTTTTTTCCCTTTACTCTGGGAAGCCAAATATTTTGGGGATCCTCTAGTGATATTACGAATTATCTTCTGTACCTATATGTATCTTTATTTTCATTATTAGCATATAATTTTTATAATGAAATTTATTAATTTTTAATTTAATTTAATTTATTTATTTTTAATAGTTTTATTAGGGGCTCATACAACTCTTATCACAACCCATATATACATCAATTGTATAAAGCATATTTGTACATTCATTGCCCTCATTGTATTGGAATTGATTGTAGTGATGGTTATACACTTATGAATGTGATTGAACTATTGAAATATATAATATGAAGAGAAAACAATCCAATGGCTCCAGAGGAACATGGGACGGGGGAGGGGGAAAGGAAAGTGGTATCAACCAACCCAGGGACAAGGGAAGAACAAATGATCTAAAATTGATGGCAAGGAGGGTATAAGATGCCTGGTGGTTCTTGATCAAGGGCAATCTAGGTGAGAGGAATTACTGAAACCCGAGTGAAGGCCAAATATGTTAGTGGGACAAGAAAGTAAAAGGAAATAAAGGAAAGAGCTAGGAGGCAAAGGACAATAACAAAAATAACAAAAATAACAATAACAAAAGTCTAAATACAGGCCTGTACACATGTAAACATATTTATATATAATGATAGAGAAATAAATCTATGTACATATATCTATATGTTAAGTATTAAGGTAGCAGATGGACACTGCCTCAATGCAGGAACACTTTGTTCTAATAACCTGGCATTCTGTGATGTTCATCTTCCTGACACCATCAATGAAGACAAAATGTGTGCATAAGCAAATGTGGTGAAGAAAGCTGATGGTGCCTGGCTATAAAAGATATAGCATCTGGGGGCTTACAGCCTTGAAGATAAACAAGAGGCCATCTAGCTAAGAAACAACAAAGCCCACATGGAAGAAGCACATCATCCTGTGCGATCATGAGGTGTTGATGACATCAAATATCATGCATCAAATACCCAGAACAAAAAATCATATCGATGTGAATGAGGGTGATTGTGGAGTGTAGACCCACAGCCCATCTATAGACAATTGGACATTCCCTTGCAGAAGACTCACAAGAAAAAGATGAGCCATTCAGGGTGCAGTATAGCACTGATGAAACATACAACTTTCCTCTAGTTCTTTAATGCTTCCTCCCCCCCACTATCATGACCCCAATTCTACCTTACAAATCTGGCTAGACCAGAGCATGTACATTGGTACAGATAGGAGTTGGAAACACAGAGAATCAGGACAGATAAACCCCTCAGGACCAATAATGAGAGTAGTGATACCAGGAGGAGAAGAGGAAGGTGGGGGAGAAAGGAGGGACTGATCACCATGATCTACATATAACCTCCTCCCAGGGGGATGCACAACAGAGTGAAGGGAGACATCAGTCAGTGTAAGAAATGAAAAAATAATAATAATTTATAAATTATCAAAGGTTTATGAGGGAGGGAGGAAGGGAGGCAGGGAGAGAGAGGGAAGGAGGGATAAAAAGAGGAGCTGATAGCAAGGGCTTAAGTAGAATGGAAATGTTTGAGAATGATGATGGCAACATATGTACAAATGTGCTTGACACAATGGACATAGGTATGGATTGTGATAAGAGCTGTATGAGCCCCCAATAAAATGATTAAAAAAAGAAAAATATATAATATGTGAATTGTATGTCGGTGAAACTGTTAAAAATAAACTATTATGAAATTAAAACGTAAGCAACGCTTCTTCTTCTTAACGTATTCAAATACTTTAAAAAACATTCCTTAATATTTTCATTTTCGTTTCTTAAATGTAGATATTTTCTTCTTTATTTTTTTAAATTTTCTTCTTTATTACAGACCTTTATTCACTTCAACTTTAGATCGAGAGAAATGCATTTTGTATAGTCCAATGGAGGAGATTTTGAATGAACTTTGTGAGAAAAAAAATTATTACATCTGTCAGCATTGAATCTATTTAAGTTTTCTTGGATCATGTGTTAAGGAACAGGCACTGGATTGCTAAGAATGATTCATTTATGTATACTATTACCAATTCGCTATTGAAATATGTGGAAAATTATATCTCATATAACTTCCATATCTGTGCATTTTTATTATTTAAAAATTGATGGAATTTCTGTGTCTATCTAAAAAGTTATAAATCATCAATGTCAATAATTTTATACATGTATTTCATTAAATATGCCTTAATATTAAATTTAAAGGGGCTTGTGTAGGTTTCATTGTGTATTTTCTCTGTCAGAATGTCATTACATTGGACTGAACACAAATAATATATGTATAAACTTCATTTAAAGGTTAATATTTTTAATAGAGCAACCTTTGTCAAATGGAAACCAAACCCACTGCATCAATTCAACTATGAGTGTTATGAACCCTGCATAGGGTTCCTGAGACTCTAAATCTTTGAGAGCAGTCAGACTTATCTTTCTTATGAGGATTGACCAGTCAATTTGAGCCACCAATCTTGAGATTACTAGACCAATGCATAATAACCATAGGAGCACCTTATGCCAAATTTATGGTATATTAAATTGGAGATTTTTGTCATCATCTAATTGTTTTGAGAATAAATCAAAGACAATGTTAATGTTCTTTGTTAACTCTGTTTTTCTTTCAAACTATGTTATTAGGACCTAATCCAGACATCGTACTTTCCACAGCTCAATCATATCAAGCAGTGTTATATCATCACTACCATAATCAGCTTCAAGATATTGTCTTCCTTCTTGTACTCTTCAATATCAGCTCCCCATTACCAGCCCTTCTCCTGCTCCTAGGAATCTTTATTCTAGTTATTATCTCTATAGTGTCATCATTCTGAGTTTCATATACCAAAAATCATAGAAAAAATATGAGAGTCAAGAAAGCTACCAACAATGTCAAAAAACAACAGAGATAAACCCCCGTATGAAAAGCAAACAAAAAAATGAATAAATAAAAAGGAAAAAAAAAGAAAAACAAACAATAGAGCAAATATTAAAAAACAGATTAAGTACAAATTGTATCAAACCGGAGATCACATGGCAAGGTTTTAACCATTTGAATTAGGTTTATCTTTTTAATTCATTACAGTCTTCCCTATAGTACTCTCTTTCTGATCACCTGGTTGTTCCTATCCCTCAATTATGATTAGAGGGAAACCACCTGAGGCTTATTCTCTATGTCAATCCTGCAAATGCATTTTGTTTTTGTTTGTTTTTTTAAACATTTTATTAGGGGCTCATACAACTGTTATCCCAATCCATACACACATCAATTGTG